TGACCAGGAGAGGGATTTACATTAGTCAGCTGACATCTCATCTCTAAAAATAGAAGTGGACCATTGAGCTAGACAGAAACCTCATGGATGTGACAGGCACAGTCACCCAGGATGCTGAGATCAGAAGAGTGTGACAAGTGGCTGAAGGGTCTGCTCTTGCTGTATTGAAATTTGGTTAAGGGGCCCACATTTTCATTTTGCCCTGGGCCTCAAAATTATGTAGCCAATCCTGGAGGTTCTATGCATACAGATGCAAAACATGGGCAGATAGTTGTACATATTGAACTTCTATTCCCTAGGCTTTTGTTTTGTAAATATAATAAGAAGTACAGGTGATTTGTCTCCCTGAGCTACATGCAGGCTATTTCACTGGGACTCACATTCCATTCATTAATTCTTTCAGTGCCTCATCTGCTATTTGGGTGAAGCAATAGGATTTTTAATTGAAGGTCCTATATTTTAACTTTAGAAGTTCTATGTGATTCTCAGTTTGGACTTTTCTCATACTTTTGTAGCATTGGCTTCATGCTTTTAACCTCTTGCTCTTGTCTTTATTAACTTTATACCTATTTATTTTCTATTTTTTCTTTTGTATAGCTTTTCTATTTTTGAAGTTATTAGGACTCCAATAATCCTGTTGGCTATGTCTACACATTTTCCGTTGTGGATCCAATAATAGTGGAAATGTACTGACTTGCTTAGTGAGATTATTAGTGAGAGCTGAATTAGATTGTGTATCTTTTCAGAAAGATTGTGTATTTGTATATGCCAGATATCACAAATGAGTGCTTTTAGCCCACATGGGAATGTTTCCATTACCATTTCTGCATAAAATTGTTGTAACGCATGCAGTTTATTAGAATAACACAACTTTATTCCATTTATAGAAAGTGTTAATAAAATATATACAACCTATGAAATCAAAGGACATTTTCCTCTTGACTGTAACAACACTGACAGAGTCCAAAACCTGCACACAATTTCATAAAGATGCTTATTTTACCTATGCAGATTTTTTTCTCACTGGTATTTCTACGCCATTAAAGCTGTGCAAATGTGACCTCAAAATGAACGATATGTGTATTGCTTTAAATTATTCAGGAAAACTTGTTTCCTAGCTTGAGGCAACCTGGGATTTCTTCAAACTTTCATGTTTTTGCAGTATAGAAAGGCAGCTAGAATAAATTTTGAATAAACATGTCTTTAATATATTCACAGAAAATTTTATTTCCCTTTACATCCTTGATCACCCCTCATTAATTATTCCTATCACTTTCTATCCACATCCTCTATGTTCATCAATACCATAATCAAGTTTCATCCATTTGACCATTAAGCTTGATTATTTGGTTGGTTTGAGAGCCACTTAGGGCTACTAAGCACACATCTGGGTGTTCCCGGATGGGTCACAGAAGCCTGACCTTGGGTACAAACATGGTCTCTGGATCCTTCCTGACTGGCACTGCTCCTCTCCTCTGCTCCTCTGCATGAACTGTGCAGCTTTGCTCTGCCATGTCCTTCTGCCATGATGTTTCTCCCCTGGAGACAGCTGATCATGGACTTGACTCTCCGAAACCATGATCCAAACTAAATCTCTTGTTCCTTAAATTGTGACTGTTGGGTATTGTGCCATAATAGATGGAGAAAATGAATACAATCTGCCTTTAAAAATAAAGCAAACTCTTTCTTAGATGGTCATCCAATCCAGTATTTTACTGTTAGAGAGTCAAAACTCTTGAAATCATCAGTAGCAGCTATGTGTATTTCTCCATCCCCAAGTACAGGTCTGGTTAGCACACACATCCACAGGCACACTGTGCTAGCGAAGACCCTCCTTTCAAGAGTTGCAACGACTCCCTACTTAGTAAGCCAAATAGGCACTTTCAAATGACCACCTTGATCTGTAGACCTGGACCTGTTTATATAACTTGAGATGACTCATGCTGTCTTTCTAGTAATTCTCAACCAATTTGCTATCTCTGCCTCAGTCTTATTTTCCAGTTCCTTTTCCTCTGCTCATTCACTACTTGCTGATTTTCCCTGAGTTTTTGTAAATTTTTTTGGGGGGGGAGGTCATTGGGGTTTTAACTAATGAGTGCTGAGAAACATATCCAGCAATTTTTATTTTGAGACAGGGTCTTACACAGCTGCCAAGCTGATATTGAACCTCTGCCTCCCAAGAAATTGGGATTACAGCTGTGTGTCTTCACATCTGGCTACTTCTGTAAAAAAATTAAAGTAAATTAATTGCATTGCTGTGAATTACATCCCAGATTTTCCTCTCTGAAGTGCATCCTCAGCCCCTTTATTACTTTTGATTTTGAGACAGGTTATGCTAAATTACTAAATTGCTCAGGCTGGGCTTGAACTTGCAACACTCCTTCCTCAGGCTCCCAGGGTGCTGGGACTATGGACTTGCTCCACCATGCCTAGTTTATACTTCTTTCTTTTATTCTAAGCTTTACAACTAATTTATACTCTTTACATCCTTGGTATCAAGTATACAATGTCTGTAGTGCACCTCAAATATTTTATTTTTCTAATATTTCCCTTCTAAATACATATATATGTCTCTCTCTCTATATATATATACATATATATATACATATATATATCTTTATATGTTATACAGCAGAACTACATAATTGATTTCCTAGATCTATCCTCTTCTTAATACTCTGGTAGTTTTTTCTAGTTCTTCCTTCTCCATTCTGTTCAGTGGATTGCAACTCCTGTGTATTTCTCCATTCTTTTTTATCTTTCATCCCTACAGCTGCCTCTTTCCTCAACAGTGACCTTGCTGAAATAGCTGACTGTATTTTAAGCTTCTAACTTTTTCAGTTTAGTTGCCACATTGTTATCAACAATGACCTTTAAAAAATCTCCTACCACGTTATTCTGCAAATGGATATTTGATGCATCCACGTTACAAGTATTGATTGGCCACTCACTGTGTTACAGGCACAATGCAGAACAGGATCATTGTATCCGTCATTGCAGCAGTCGTCACCGTCACCTAAAATACTCATTCCAGTGCCCCACGTATAATGACATTGAAAGTGAATAATTTATTTAATAACTTCTTCCCTATAGGACACAATTATTTTCACTACTAACCATGATGCTACAATATATAAAATACCAGGGACTTTAGACATTCCAAATAAATCTTCCGTACAAGTTTTTCTATAGTGTCTAGTTATCAGTGAGTGAATTTCAGTACAACTGGAATGTGTGTAAAATAGTTTACCCTCTAAATCATAATTTGCTGTAATGTTTTATTTTCTTGATTTGTTGTTTAATTTTCTAACAATCAATTAATACTTTAAAAGAGGAATGCATTTTGGTTTGAAAGATGTTATTTAAATTTGGTAAAAAATTTCACGCATGGAATAAATTTGCACTCACCTCTTCCAAGTTAAAATCCTGTGTCGTATTTTAAAATTGTAAATGAGCATGTATAAATTCCAAGGAGTAACATGGATAACAAAATTGAAACCACACAGTTATACTTCTTCCTTTCTATAAGCCCTGCATTATCACTGTTCATTTTGAATCTACTCTTTAATGCAAGAAAATTTGGCTTCCCAAGGTCTGAGAAGCAAAGAACCCAGAAAATGAACTGGAATGATTCCAAAAGGCTGTGAACTGAGTGTCCCGCATTCTAGGGAGTCCTCAGGATTAACTTCTATGCAGAAAACAATGTTTATTAAAGGGTAATTAGCAAAATTGTGCTAATTTGCAGCTTCTTATTCTGGTTCTTTGATGATATATAAGGAATCCTCTTTAGTGGCTTAAAACAATGACAATTGTCTATTTAACTTACAGTTCTGTAATATGGTAAACTCAGTGAAAACAGTTTGTGTCTTTTCCAGGGGATATCAGTTGAGTGATTGAATCTGATTGTATTCACTCAACTGTCAGTTGATTCGTATTCTCATCTGGTCCTCAACTGAGAATGAATCCAAGACAAATTGTACTGGAGTTAACCAGGCACAGAGGACTATATTCAAGACTATTGGGAGAGACATTAAACTCCACTTCACTAAAATAGAGGAAAGGAGCCTTTTTAATGTGATGAAAGGAGCTGGTGGAAATGTGATGGAGGACATTAGAAAGACTGGTAAATGTGGTCGGCCATCTATGCCTGCTAATTGGCAACTATCAAAGTTAGGCTGCCACCCTCTCCCCTGGAGACAGGGATAATGATGCTTTCTTAAGGATGATGTTTCAATGTGTGGCTCCTAGGTCCTTGAGAATGAAGGCCCTGGATTTCAAAACCGGCAAGTGGTTGGGAGAAGACCTATATCTCAGAGAGGCAGAAAAACAATTTACAATTTCAAGTTTTCTAAAGTAAATGTTCTAAGAAGAGGGAAGACAGAGCCTATTGTGAGGAAGGAACTTCTAAAACTTTGTCAAGCTGAGGGGAACATGAAGACCTTCTTGGTGAAATACCATCAGGAACATCGACAGAAACCTTTTTGAGTGTCTGCTTGATTTCCACATAGTAAGGCTGGGTTCCAAATGCCAGCATGGCATGGAAGAGCTGCTTATGATGTAAACTTAGAAGTCAAAGCATCACTTCTAGTACAAAAGTCAATCGGATGGCAAGCACAGGGAGAATTTGCTGAACTCTGGAAGAGCGTAGCAATTATAAATGTAATGGTGTCTGTTCTTGGAACATACAATTGCTACATTAGCATGGACATAATTAACATTGCACAATAGGTACAGAAATGTTTTAGTAACAGATCAACAAAACATAATCTTCTGGGAGGAGAATTTTATCACTGACATTATTTAGAATTTCTGGGGCATAGTTTAAAAAGACCAAGTATGTTGATTCTATCCTTGTTTTTGTTTATTTATTTATTTTAGAAAAAATGCACTCAATTATTGTCTGTACCTGGGCAGTTCCCTTGTATTGCCTTGACCTTGTGAAGACATGAGCTCAATTTACTTCATGAGGAAATACAAGCTCCAAAGTTACTTCATAAAGTACTTATAACATAAGCATGGCTTTTCTTCTCGCAATCCCACACTGTACCTTATATTTTAGGCACTATAAATGTATTGCAACTCCAAGAAACAAAGCAAAACAGAAAGCAGACTCCTGTCTTGGTTTTGCATATATTTCCTCTGAGTAAATAAAAGCTGCCTCCCCTCTACCAGTCAACTCAGGTGTCACTTCTCAGGAAGCCTTTTGGGACTGCTTTCTGCAACATGGGATGGCCGATCTCAGGCACTGGTGCTCCTCACCTGTTCAGGAGCTGAGTTAGGGCTCAGTTCTCTCTCTCCAATCTCTGACTCTAGTTCCTGTGCACTCTTCAGGCTTGTGATACTTCTACGCCTTCGGGAAGTCCAAGATAAAAATTCAGAAGTAGGTTAATGCTCTCTAGAATTCATAAGAGGACCATAGCATTCTTGACTAATATAGTAGCTGTCATGTGTATTCGCTATAGAGATACACATGAGACAGTGCTTGTGTAATTCACATCACTTTGCCTAATGCTGGGCCACCTGTATTAATTTATTTTGTATATACAGACATTTCCCTTTTTTTTCAGAATGACCATGGATAAGTGCAAATCTAAAGTTCCTTTCGTTTTGTGTTCTTATGTTTATCATTGTTGCCAGCAAAGCATTCTTTAAATAGCATATAAATCCTTCAGCCCTTTTTTCCTCTCTTTGCCTTAGAAAGAAAGCAGTCACCATTTTATTGGGAGAAAACTTTCATGTACTTCAAATCATTAACTAATCTCTTAGAGGGTCTTCTAGAGAGAGAATATATCCAGATCAGTTAATCTGCCAATGTCAGCCTAATTTGCAAGGGTTTGACATTCTATTAAATCACTTTTTTCATGCAACCTTCAAATGATTATTTTCATTTTCATCCTTTTTTACACTGTGGCATTATTAATGCACCTAGAACATGTTTTAGTGTAATAAAATGATTATTTTATGGTTCCTATAGGTGAATATCCTGAATACACATGAGAATGTGCGCATTTAAAAAATTCCTATGACACATGCTTGAATCAGGCCTTGCTTTTTATCCACTCTCACCTGGAAATATTTCAGTTTCCCTTGCATATAATAGACGTTTTCCATGCATGCTTTGTGCAGTTTGTTTTTCATGCTATTATTAATTTCCTTTTTGCTTCCTATTTCTAAATCAGAGAACCAGAGAAACTTGCTTTCCAACATAGAAGACCCTAGGTTCCAGCAATCTTAATCAACTGCTCTTTAGGTTACTACTGAAGATATTTGAAAGACAGCAGGTATTGGTAACCAATAACACACAAAGAAGTTGTAATGCAGAAGTCTCACATAAGCAACATGTAAAAAAAAAATCCTGAAATAACAATTTGAAATCTATATTAAGCAGGGTTATTCACAAGAAGAGAACCATTAGGAAATTCTCTATCTATCTATCTATCTATCTATCTATCTATCTATCTATCTATTTGGCATCTATCTGAGAGATTGGAGGGGAGAAAGAGAGTGAGGCTTGGCTCACACAATGATGTAGTCTGAGAAGTCTGCTCTCTGGAGATCCCGGAAAGCTAGTGATATAATTTAGTCCAGTCCGAAGGCTTGAGAAGCAGGGGATTTGAGGGTACTCCTCCCACTGCATGGCAGAAGACTGGAGTATTATGAGGCTGCCCTGTAAATCTTGGAGCTTGACAGCTCTAGAACCAGGAGCCTGAGTGCAGGTGAAGAGGAAGAGAGAAAAAGCATTCTGCATTCATCCAGCTTTTTGTTTGGGTTTGCCCTCCATAGATTGGATAATGCCTACCTACACACAGTGGTGAAGGCTCTTCACTTGCCAGCTGATTCAAAAACTAAAACCTTCCTGAAACCCTCCCTTAGGTATACCCAGACATCATGGTTTACCAGCTATCTGGCCCCATCAAGTTATGACATAAAACTATTACTGTAGGCATAAGTTAGTCCACAGAACAGCAGAACTGAAAAAGAAAGACATGCAAAGGATTCGCTAGGGAAAACTTCAGTGAAAGTGGAAGGGAGAAGAAAGAGGCAAGGGAAGCATCCAAATGCAGATGCAGTTCTCACGTTCACACACAGAGAGAAGGCAGGAAGACTGGGTAGGCAGAGCTTCAGATTGCAGCACATTTCTCGGAAAATTACCCACCGGGCCAATCTGGGAGTGACTGAGTGAAGGTTTCTTGTTTGAAGAACCTTACACAGGGCCGAAGTGTTTCATTTCTAGGTGTGGTTGTCGGGGCAGAGTGTTAACTTGCTTGGCTTTGACAACTTTCCTGGCAACTGGTGGAGCACACTTCAGGATATGTCATGAGGGCCATGGAGGTATAGCCACAGGGTCTATGTCTGATCCCTGGCTCCTTCCTCTCTGCATAGTTAGTTCTGCTCTGCTTTGCAGCTGCCATGAACTAAGCAGCTTTGCTCCTCCAGTCTGTCTTCCAGAAAAGTGGAAAGGCTGTGGAGTCACCTCCACCTCCTAAGCCACAAAAAACCAACAAATTTACCTCAATTTTGCAATTGAAAATCACATAGCTATACATTCATCATTTTACCCAATATATATTACTCCATATAATCAGTAAGCATTATGAAAAATGCCATGCAATGCCTTGGTGATGATTCATTATTCATTAATTCAATGGACATCATATCAGCCTTATAAAAGATAATGTCATTAGATTATTTTTCTTAAATTTAGAGGTAACTTATTAGAATAGTTTAGATTTATAGAAAAAGATGGGCAGATAGTTCAGAGTTCACAAATTACATTCCACAGATACACAGTTTCTGCTCTTAATATCATTCATTTGTGTGGTACATTTGTTAAAATTGGTGAAGGAGTACTGATACATTGTTACTAACTAAAGTCAGTGTTTTACATTAACTTTCACAATTATGTGTTACAGTTATATGGGTTTTGACAATCGTGCAAAAGCACACATCAAATATTAGAGTATCATACAGAACTTTCACTTCCTGCCTTAAAGATTTCCTGAGCTTCAACTGTTCCTCTCTCCTCCCCCCATCAGCCCTTGGTAAACACTGGTCCTTTAAATGTCTTAGTAGTTTTTCGGTTACCAGAATGCTATTTTATTAACATTATGCAGTACAACGTCTTTCCATACTTAACCCCTTCTCATATGTATATATGTCCCTCCTTACTTTTCTAAAAGCAAATGATAACTCATTTGTTTTTATGGACAGGTACCATTCTGTTGTTATAGTTGTACTACATTTGTTTAGCTATTGACCTCCACAAGGGCATTTTAGTTGTTTCAATTTTGTGTACATACAAAAAATATTGCTATAAACAGGTATTTTGTGGACCTGGTTTTACCTTATTTGGATAAATACATAGGAGAATTATTGCCTAATAATATTATGTTTTATATGAAGCTGCTGAACTGTTTGTAAAGTGTCTATAGTACTTTAGCTTCCCACTAGCAATTACTGAGATTTTGTTACTCTGGATCCTTGCCCATAGTAGGTATCATAAGTTTTTGGATTTTCACCATTATAATACATGTGGAGTGGCATTTTGTTTTTGCATTAATTTGTAATTCTATTATTGCATATAATAAGAGGTAGGTAGTGAGATTCATGATTACTTTGTATATTTTTATACACGTCCTTTATTAGACATACATGTAGAAAATACTTTCTCAGGTGTAATGACTTATCTTTGCTTTCTGGTTATGATTTACTGTCTGTATTTCCAGTCAGTGATGTTGTTTAATGGAAACAGTGTTACTACATTTAAAATAAAGAGGAAAGTACATTATTCATGACTTCATTTTCCTTTGCTTCCATGTCAAATGTAAATAATATTCCTTGAATTAATCTGAGTAGTCACTGGATGTCACTGTTGCTTCACTAAACATAATTTTTTTAACAGGGATAATGATTTAGAATATTTTCTAAATAAGCATTTTAGTAAAAGAAGCAAATATACATTTTAAGTACTTGTCAATAAAGTTTAGATCAAATTAGTATGGGACATCAATAATTATAGAAAGATTTAATTTACATGCTAGTATTTTATCATAGGATTATGGACATGCTTCACATAGCATCCACTGACAAAACTACAGAACTATAAAAAGTTACTAGAGCAATGAAATAGAGGGGAAATTTTTAGAATACATATGTTGCTTAATATTTAAATTTTAAAAATATTTTATTTTATTTACAGAATATATAAATCATGTATGCATGTTATATATATTTATATAATTTAAATACCAAAAATTTAAAAGCTTAACATAAAATTAGGAAAAGTTCATCCTATATACACTTTAAATTACAATCCTGAAACCTCCTGATCATCGTTAGGACAAGAGATTTCTAGACAACTAAAATTTACTTGATAATATAAAAATGGAAGTAAAAGGAGGATTCAAAAAACACCTCAAGATAACATAACCAAGACTCAGTACACCCTCATGCCTTTGTGCTTGCCTATGTACCATCCTTTTTTTCATGCAATAAGTAATTGCCAAGTTTATAGACTCGGTCTGTTAAGGTAGAGACTGAACTCTTCGTGGTCTGCAGTACTTAGCAGGGCCACTCACTGTTCATCTCCAAAAGATGATTTTTAGCAATAGTTTTCTAAAACACAAAATGACAAAGATCACATCATGCATCATAGTAATATGAAATCATGTTTTTATGCACAATGAGTGATCAGAGACCTTGTGACCCATACTTTTGTACCTCCAAATATCTGTGCTAGCAAACATTTGCATCTTTACTAACTAATATTATCGCTTCAGGTTTGCTTACCTACATGTGACTGTGAAATCCAACTCATGGTTCAAGTCAAAGTTTATATGATAGAAGAATAGGGAAATTTGAAGTTTGCTTCAAAGAATATCTGAAGAGGAACAAAAAGGAAAATAAAAGTGATGTGAATCACAATATTTCAAATTTCTGAATACATATTCAAAACAATATGAGGTTTCAATTTTCATTTTGCAATAAAAGACATATAGATGACCCATCTCTATACTATTTGTGGGTTTTTTGTAAGAAGAGGTAGTGTTTAATACAGATTATATAGAGTGACTCTGCCATCATAGCATGTGGATTAGAACGGGCTGTATGTAACCACTTTAATTATCATAGCCAAAGGGTAAATACATTTGAATGATGAAAACAAGAGAAATAATGAGTTTTTTTGTCTTACAAGTATCTGTATTTAATTTATTGTTAGGAAGACTATTTCCATTGGTGTGAATTAATGTGACAGTTGACATAACAGTATATAAAGAAAAGTTGATTACATAGCAGAGAAATAAGAAAAACATAAATATAGGTAATAGAAAAAAGGCTAATGGGAACTGATGTCATTCACCTTGTAGAATAAGGAACAAATGTAAGACTTACTGATACTGGAATTAAGGAAAGCACATTGTAATATAATAGTATTTGTGGGTGAGTCTGCTAGCTTAATACTCTTTAATGAACTATTAAATACTACACTATTAACTTTATTAATTTGTTATACATTCATTTCTTTATATCCTGCATGACTTAACAATCAACTTTTATTTTTTACTTTTCTTGAATCCTTCTCTCTGAGTAGGGATTGGAACACCAATACAACTACATAAACAGTCACCTATTTATTTATCTCCCCTTCAATTATTTGCACTGTTTCTTTAAACTATAATTCCTCATTGGATGCATAGGAATAACCAAACAAATAATTACAACATTGATTAGTAGAACAACATTGATTAATTACAAAAATAAACCACTTTTCAATTTATCTTTTGACAGGGTAAATCGATTGCAGACACAGCAATGACCCATATATACTATTTCTTCAGTATCTTAATTGGTTTGGCTGTGTTTGCATTTGGTTTTTGTGCATCCTAATGAAATTTTTTAAAAAGTAGAATTATGCAAGTAAAAATAAAAATGTCATTGACATCAGAAATTTTTTAAAAACTCTGGCCAAACATAAAAACTGTCATTGATTTTAATTAATAAACACACTTTCATAGAAATAATACCCTATGTATTTACTAAGGGGTTTCTCTAATACCTTTTGTAACATCTCTAATGTTCCAACCTATGACTCTGAATCGCTTTATATTCATTGCTGTAGTTTAAGTCTTATAGTTGATCAGTGACTTAATGTTTTACATGAGCTCAGTTGAGAACTAACAAGTAGAGAGACTCAATACAGGAAATGAATTCTTGAGTGCTTACTAACTATGGAAAGTGCTGGAGGATCAGTCATCAGTTTAGATAACTAAGAAAAACAAAAGAACGGAAAACTACCTTACAGGAGTTCCGTCTGTGACATACCACAATTCCGGGCAATTTGGTCACTCATTCTAGAATCACACTACCTTAGTCACGAAATTGGAGCAAGATAACAACCAGCGGAAATGACAGATCCAGGAACGCATTTCCTTGGCCAGAGAGTGGACATCAGAAAGTTGCTGATTGACTGCTAGTTGTACTTCCTGTTAGAAAACAAGCACCTTAGGCTTAGCCTCTCCAGTAATTCACTGTTTGACTCTAAGTCTCAAGCAAATGAATCTCTTTAGAAAAAGCTAAACCATCCCCAGAGCCACAGCTGCAAAGAATCTGGGAACCGTACCTTCTTCGTTTCTTACCTAGCGCATTAAACAGGAGCTGGAATTCGTGCTGAGCAAGCCAAGGCTTGGCGACTGACCGGAGGACATCTGGGAGTTGTCAAGACCACGCATGTAGTTGCTGCCTGCAACCCAAACGCACGTGGTTCTTACAGCGTTATCACAAGAACATTTTCAAAGACAGGACACTTGAACGAAAAGCACAGGCTTCTTAGGAAATGAAGAGACTTTAAAATAAATAGCAAAGCTATAAAAACTGGCAAAAAAAAATTCTTCGCGTACGTATAGATGATTAATATGAAAATGTTAATTCATATAACCTTCTAGTTTTATAATTAGGCAGCACCGGAAACACCCTAAGTTCCCTAAATACTGCAATGAGTAGCAGTACGTACCTAAAAACGTGTGATTACTTAGCATTTAAAAACATACCGTGAGAACATAGAAAATAATTTCGAGTATTAGCTGTTTCACCATTGGCTGATTGTCAAAATCAGCGAGGCAGACGATGCTGGAAATCTGCTCCCTCCTCTGCTGCTGCCTCAGAGTCTTCTGAACTTTTGAGCCTTGACCATGTTCTCCACTCCTCTCTTGGATTCTAAGTAATTTCAGTTTGAATACCAAGGGGCAATAGAATTTCAGCTTGATAATTTGAATCTTATATTCCATTTAAAAGTGTATTTATTAAGGCATGTGTAATTTTTAACTTTTTAACTAACCTATCAAATTGATATTTGTTTTCTTTGTGTTTGAAAGTCATTATTCCATTTATTTCTAGAATTTTAGAAGTAAAAATTACCTAAATTTGTACCTTTATTTTCATAGGAGATTCAATCTACTACATTTAGTAGTAGTTGAATTAAGTATTATGCCTACATCTAATCTATGGCCATAATCAATCTCTCTCTCTCTTTCTCTCTCTCTCTCTCTCTCTCCCTCCTCTCTCTCCTTCCCTCCCTCTTCAAGGGCATATTTTCTTAACACAGCCCAAGTCCTGGGGATTAGGATGGAAAATTATGGTGGATCATTTTCAGAATTCTATCTACCCTATTTCTGGATAACAACAGAAAATGTAGTACTCACTAAGGGTTATAGTTTTAAAAAATTGAAGTCTTCTAGTTACTAGACTAGAAAACCTTAAAGTCCCTTCTGATCTTAAAATACTAAAAATGTATATTTAAACATGCTATTTTAAAAATTGGCTAGAACACAGGTTTACAAATTTAAAAGGGTACTGACATTTTACTAGTTTCAGAAAAGGACATGTTTTTACAATTATTTTATTATGAGTGAGTCAATTTTCTAGTCACAAGTGGTTAGGGAAGAATGAAACATAAAAGCAGAAATAAAGGTTAATACCACCTTAGTGTCAAATCATAATGCCTGGGAAGCCAGAAGCAAAAAATCTGCCATTCAGCAACAATTTCCACAGTAGAAATTCTGCTTCTAGATATAGAGATTAGAAGTAAAAGAGCCAAATTAAAGCCAGCTTATGTGTAAGCTCTTTCTTCCAAATATCATTAAGGAAAATTTGGGCTAAGGATACAAGAACCCATGGGTTAGGCTACCAAGTCCCATTAAATATGAGGATTCAGCTGACTGGCTTCAGGCTAAGACAATCCCAGAAGGCGAGAAGGGAGGGAGGGAATGTGGCTTCTTACCTTTTTATTTAGTATTTTAACCAATATCTTTGGTTCATACTCGGGTATTTTCAGTGCTATAATTATTTTACTTTTGTCCTATTTGTGAGATTTATGTAGAACATAGTGTAAAAAAGACTTATTGTATGTGGAGTTTAATTATTTTAAAGTTATGCCCAATTATAAGGGAGAGCACACACTTTTATTATTTCTTTCCTGGCTTATTTTACTCAGAAAAATGATCTCCAGTTCTATCTATGTTGCTGCAAATAATAGAGTTTTGTTCTATTTCTGGTGGAATGGTATTCCATTGTGTCTGTGTACCACGTTATTTTATGGAGTCAATGGTTGTTGGAGACAAAGGTTGTTTCCAAGTCATGGCTATTGTGAATAGTGCTGCAATAAACAGGGAAGTGTAGATGCCTCTTTCATACAGCAATATAATGAAGAAAGTTCATTTCTTTTGAATATATATCCAATAGTGAGATTGCTGGATCATATAGTAGCTCTATTTTTAATTTTTTGTTCCCCTTCCAGGCAACAGTAAACAAGGGTTTCCCTTTATCCACATCCTCAGCAAAATTTTTTTTTATCTTAAGGATAACCACTCCTACTAAAGTGAGATGATATCTCATGGTGGCTTTGAAGTGCATTTCTCTGATGATAATTAATGATAACAATTTTGCATATATTTGGAAAATTGTATGGCTTCTTTTGAGAAATGTCTCTTCAAATTATTTTTGTATTTTTAAATCATATCATGTGTTTTTCGCTCTTCAATTGAATCTTTATTTTAAATATTAATCCCTTGTCAGGGATATTGTTTGCAAAAATTTCTCAAATTCTCTAGCTGTCTCTTAACTCATGACTATTTCCTTTGGTGTAAAGATGCTTTTTAGTTTGATGTAGTCCTATTTGTCTATTATTGGTCTTGTTGCCTGTGCTTTTGGGGGCATATCCAAAATTCCTTGCTCCAATGAATATTGTGAATTGTTTTTCTTATATTTCCTTCTAGTAGTTTCTGAATTTCAAGTCTCACATTTCTCTTTGTTGTCTATGGCATTATATAGATCATACATACCACCATATATGATTAGAGGTAGGGGTCATATATTCTGCTGTATGTGGACTTCCAATTTCTCAGCACTGTTTGTTGAAGAGGTTGTTGGTTTCCAGTAAATATTCTTGGTGATTTTATTGAGAATTAGTTGGCTTAAAATATAAAGACTGTTTTCTAGGTTCTCTATTCTGTTCCATGGGATTATGTGTGAGTTTTTATGTCAAAACAATGCTCTTTTTATTACTTAACTTTGTATTTCATTTTTGTATCAGGTATTGTGATAGATTCAGCTTTATTGTTTTCACTTATGATGGCTTTGACTATTTGAAGTCTTTTTTGTTTCTGTGTAAATTTTGGGAGTGCTTTTTCTATTTCTAAAATGAATAACATTGGTATTTTTATAGCTATCTCACTGAAGCTTTAGATTGCTTTGAGTAGTGCGAACATTTTAAGAATGTTAACTCTCCCCATCCATGCTCATGGGATGACTTCATTTTATTCTCTTCAATACTTCTCTCGTTGTAGGCATCTTTCACTTCCTTAGTTAAATTTATTTCTAGATACCCACTGTAGCAGCTGAGATTGGGTTTTAAAATATTTTTTCTACTAGTTTCTTATTGTTGTATAGAAGCACTACTGACTGTACTAATATAATTTACATTACAGCTTACTGAATTTAGTTTTAGTATTATTATTTTCATGATTAATATCATCTTGCAGAGTTACATTCCATTATGTATTATTTCTGGATCAAAGTTGATGCTCAGTTAATGCTAACATAATATTTACATTTATCATTGCTGTTGTTGTTCTATAAAGAGTCATCTCGTTGATCCTGACTGTATAGTTTTTGAGTACACAATTTATGATAGTAATGTAAACAAAGTTCTTATGCATATGAATTATCATTTGGAAAAATATTCTTTTGATATTGAGACAAAATGGATAGAATGTTTTATATGTTAATAGAAATCATAATAATTTTTCAGTAATACAGCTAGCATTTTTTGAATCTTTATTCAGTGTAAATAACATAGTAATGTCTGCTTATAAAAATATAATAATAATATAATAATAGTAATAGTATTTATATGTACATATACAGTAACATTCATGATGACCTCTGAAATTTAATTAGAATACAATTGGGAACACAAATAAATTATGAAATATTCTCTGAGTCCTACAACTTAAAAAGCACAGCTAGGAAGTAAATGTATGTCTGTCTTACCCTAGAGTCTATAACATTTTTTAAATTATGTATTTTTTATTAGTACATGTTTGCAGTACATAATGCTTTAGTAACTCTTCATTTTTATGGAGAACCTAAAATTATAATGACATCAGACAGAAACAGTAATATTATTTGCTTCCAAAGTATCCATTTAAAAAGAAGTCTTCTCAGCATTAATTTCCCCCTTCGGAAACTGTAATTTCCTTTTCAGATGTTATTTCATTTCATTTTGGTTGATTTTAGTTAAATTGTCAATCAAGATGTCCTATCTTCCTCCATAAATCTTGTGAGAACCTTGTAAGATAATGGAAAATTTCTCACAGGAAAGATTTTTTGTGTAATTAAGACTGAACTATGGCCTTTCAGCTTGCATGGAACTGTTTTGCAATAGAGATTGGATTTGCAAGCCCAGAACTGGTTGGACATTCTGATAATCAGAAAGAAAGTCTTGACAGACTTCAAAGAGTTCATGAAGAATAATAGTAGTTGTAAAAAATACTGTGAGCATAAATCATGTTATATAAAAGCTTATAGAAAAATGAAGTTTTTATGACAGTTATTTTTGTTAAAATAATATTGCTTTAAAAGGTTCAGGGTAGGGGGTGTAGCTTAGTGGTAGAGCTTACCTAACTCACTCTCCTAACAGGTATGAAGTCTTGGATTTGATGCCCTGCAATGCAAAAGAAAACAAAATTAAAAACTTATAATCTGTTCTGAGTGAAAGAAAAATGTCATGAGTTTTTAAGTGAAAAAAGTATGAAACTAAGACTTTAACATAAGTTCTAATCAGAAAATAAAACAACTCATATTGAAACAATAGCACATAATACACTGAATCAGTGTCATGTTTAGTTGAATCAGTGCCATATTGGTTCCTATAGGTTTCCACCTTTTAAAGGTAGTTTACAGCACCAAATCTGTATAATAATCCTTGAAAAGCAATCTACTGGAAGCATTTAGAAAAATGAGAAAATTCCTCTAAGTAGTCATAAAGAATTCTATGTCATATCAGGCTGATATTAATGAGCAGTGAAAAGGTCTTTAATGAAACTGTGTGATGTGTGAGCTGGGTAATTGCTGTGGTCAAACTCCTTAAATTACCACAAGTCTTCGAAAGGAAGATCCAAATTTCCTTGATGAAAGGAGGCATGCTTCAGCAGGTCTGCAAGGAGCATCCACCTCTGTGACACTCCATGACTTTCATGGATTAACCTCTTATCATGTGTAACATTTTAGTTTAAAGTGGGAATTTTATTTGGTAGCAAACAATGTTGAATTCTGGAGAGGATTGTTTACCTTCCACAACACAAATGTCTGCAAAAATTCTATCTGCAATATATCAATAGAGAAAGGCATTTTTTCTTTCATGTACAGCAACCAGATTTCTCCTCTACACCATACTTTACTGGTCTTTAATAGCCTGCAGAATGCTCTGAAGTGACTGCTAATCATGCTCCTCTTGGTATCCAAGTCAGTGATGGACATGCCCTATGCCTACTGGAAAAGACCTAATAGGCATGTAGAAATACCCTGAAAACAGCTCTCAAGGGGAAAGAGAAAATCCATATATATTGAATAAAGAGTACACAGAAATTATTCAAAACACAGATCCTTGAATTTATTAAATTCTTAGCATCTCCAGTTGCTCTGACATATAACAAAGTACTTGAACTTATGGATGAACATTACATCTCTCTTTGTCAAGAGGTCTTTGAAGAATCCTCCACTTCATAGATATAATGTCAGTGTTAAGCCTTTTCACACAGTAAATGTTCTGAAAAGAAAAACCAGAGACTCTCATAACTCTTCTGAGAGGATAAATATAGCTTGTGCCCATCACTATGAAAGAGAAGAGATTAAGTTCCTCCCTGCAAGTCACAGGTGTGAGCCGAGAGGTCTAAGTTAGAGGGCAGTGCTAGAGATTTATGTTTTATTTAGTGAGTTAATTCCCATCAAACAGTCCCTGCAAGTTACTTGATTCAGCTTTTAATTCTTTAGTAGTATTGACACCTCCAGGGCTGCAAAAGAGGTTAAATAAAACAACTGTTCTCTACACAGCTAGGTAGACAACCAATTTATCTTTTTAATGCTAACTTGTCTAAAAGAAACTTTCACACGTTTCCATTCTCTAGCAAGCAAACTATCACAAAAATAATAAAGACTAGACATATTAAGTGAATTAATATACAGAAATCAGATCTAAAGTTTCTGAATATTATCAGGGACAACAATGAGAAGCTGTAGGGCTTCAACTTTATTTTATTTGCACACAAAAACCATAAGACTTAATCTAAGAATAATTCATCAGTAAAATCTCTGTAGCTTCCTAATGAAACTTAGAGTCCATAAATTATCTCCTGGGTTTGAATTGAGCAATCACCAATGCAGTGTTGTGTCAGTAAATCTAATGACTGTTGGAGGATTAATAAGTAAGGCGATGAGATATTTATAGGAATAAGAGTCGAGTAGCCCTTCTGTTACCAATGAATTATTATTTGCGTATTTCTTTTTTGTTAGATAGCCCTAATTTAGTGCCTCTATTTTTATTTTCCAAACTCACCAAAGTGGAATTTAAAAAACTAAATTTTTATGTGTGTTTGGTAACTATTCTTCAGTTGTAATGGAAATGTTTCTGGTTTTCAAAATTTTAGAAGACGTTTTTACAATAGCAAAACCAAATTTTATTTTGTGAATAAATTATGTAGAAAAATTGAAAAATTATTTAGTTGCTACATGAATCTTTACTTCTGAGATCATGTGAAGAGAGTACTTTTGAGATTTAGAAAGTTAGCATGCCATTCAGTCCAAAGGCTGCTTTTCCTCATAAACAATACTTTCTTAGTGGCTGGCACTTCCTGTCCCAGGGTGAGCACTTGATAAACGTTACCTGTTGTTGTTGTTGTTGCTGGTTTTTTTGTTTTTCTTATTGTCATCCTCACTCCCCACAAGTATTAAAAGATAGAAAGTTTTTTATCACTTCAAAGATACTTTTCTATAGCAATGTGCCACCTCCAACCTTTAGAACTTCCTAACAATCTTGGAGACACCAGTCAGAGAATATGACATTCATCTTATGTTTTTATATAATTTGTTATTTCCTTGAACTGCTGTGCAAATTCAAGAAAGAATGTGAGTAAATTGCTCTCTGCAGAAAATCTCTGAAACGACTAAAATCACCCTAATTTGAAATAAAGCCACATAACTCTGAAGTTTATGCAACAGAAGACAAAAATATGTATTTTTGAGGGAACAAGTCTTTTTCTTTAAACTGAAATTTTGGAAGTTCAGTTGAAAACATACAACATGGAGCAATGTATTTCTATGGTGAGAGCCTCTGAGAGTGCCATATTTTACTAAATTTACTGAGGCAAACCTTAAAACTCTATATTGTAACCTTTGTAGTAAAGATTTATCATGTGTGGTGGGAATATAACAGCTAATTTAATCAGAAACAAAGAAGTTAATCAACTACAGTTTTTCTACTTTCTGTTTTTAGTTTAGATACCTATTGATTATTGCTTAATCAATAATCAATATTCCATTACTATCTTTTAATGAAGAATGTTCTTTGCTGTTCACAGTGTTTGAGGAGGTCTCCATTCTTCTATGCTCAAGTTCATACTCACTAACTCTAAGGACTAGAATTTGATGTGTACTGTCCTTTCTTTCTGGGTCCCACTATTGCTCTTCACTGGATTAATAAATGAAGCAAAATGTATAGAGTGATTTAGAAAGGAAAGCCACTTGCAGCAACAACTCTCTTGACAAAGTAAATAGCTGTTAACCAAGCATAACAAAGATAACTAGATAGTCCAAGTGATGAGAACAGCAAAAAAATAAAGGCAATAAAGTGGGAAATTAAAAGTTAGACTTAGTATCTAAGATGGACAAAAATGGACTTTCTAAAATCAAAGAGTAAAATCAATTAAGTCCATCAATTTGTTAACAATAAACACATTTTATGTATCTTTGGCAATGGATTTCAGACTATCCGAAACTGAAAGATGTACCTATCATTTTTTTAATCTGTTTTGGAACAAACATGCAAAGAAGAGGGTTTTAGAGCACAAAGAAAGTCATGTATTTTCCTCTTTTTCAGGGAAAATAGTCACGAAATCATGAACCATGAGAAGAGTAGGGGACACCCACCTCTCTGCTGCGCGCACTGGGGCCCCGCAACCATGGTGCCAGGGGCCCGGGAAAGAAAATGTGGGGGGAGCAGAGCTGCACTGATCCGGGGCCCAGTGAGCTGGGAGTAGCCACTGCCTGTCCTCCCATGAGACTTCTGCCCGACAGCTGTGACCTGTGAGAGTCCTGACACTCACGTCCATAGTGCTTCCGAGTACAGAATGATAGTGACTGCACTAAACCATCAGGAGCTGAAGAATGCAGTAGAGTGCAGAACAGTAATTACCCGGGTTCTCTGACTCATTACTTTCAGTGTCTCATCTTCCCTCTTTTGGAGAGAGAGCTCCATTACTCTTCCTGTTGTAAGGGATGTCAGGCACTTAGGTCTTTGCGAAAAGACACATGTGCTTGGGACATACACAGTCTGTTTCCCTTCAAGGCGAAGCCTTTTGGTGGGTATCGGGAGAAGTTCTTGTGGGCTCTCGCTAGCGTAGGCCTCAAAAAGCATAAAGGTGCAAGGGTCACAGCGGTAGTACTCTTCACTCTGGTGTCCTTCACACAGAACATCGGTAGAACTTTCACATGCTACAGGCAAACACTGATTTTGATCACTGAGCCCCGGTCTCTGAGGCTGGCTCCCTTCCCTGCGTGCCACTGCTGGAACGGCAGCCTTTCTCACTTTGCAGCGCTGCTCTGCATTACTCCATATTAACCGCCATTTGTCCATGTGATGGTTATTGTTTACGAGTACTGGCCATTTCACCACTCCCTGGTTCCAGCCTTGACTAATTCTTTTGTGTCCTCCAGCATTCACCTAATAGAGACATGAATTTTTCAACATCTTACCGCATATTGCTGATTTACGTGACAACAAATTCATTAATACCAATTCCCTGATCACCAAAAAATTTATGCATAAAGAATAAGTAAAATAATCATTCGTGATTAGATCTCAACATTTTAAAAGAGAATGGAATTACTGAATTTTATTAGTGGTATTGCAAACAATGAAAATATATGAAAATATACCTCTACATAGCCTGAGAATAGATGAAATTTTAAGAAGTGGGTTTTAAGAAGATTATATAGTATGATTTCATTTTATGATTCCAGTTTTACTTATTAAAACAGGCTCATCTGCCACTAATAATATTCCATAACTATGAATATTATTCTCTCAAAATGTTTCTTTTAAGTAATAGTGAAAAATATGAAATATAGAGGGTGATATAGTATGTAATAGCAGCAGAAGATAGGGTACTCAGTGAGGGGTGTGTTATATACTTGCTCAAGAACAAATCTGACAAGAGGAAAACCTCTGACTAAAAGTACAAAACAATACTGAAATTAAAAATATCTAAAGAAATGAGGAAAGTCTCAATATTGTTAAAGATATCAATTCTTTCCAAATTGATCTATTGATTAAATGCAACCCAATGAAAATTCATACAGGCATTTTATAGACATGGACAGGCTAACTATAAAATGTTGAGGGAATGCTAAGGACCTAAAATAGCCAAAAGGACTTTGGAAATGAACAAAGTTGGAGAACTTACAGCATCACATGTAAGACTTAATAAAAGCTACAGTAATCCTAACCTCTAGATGTTGGCAAAAACAGCCCAATGGAGCAGAGCAGATATAAAGCCCTGTAAATTAGTCATTGGTATGGCACGAAGTCAGCAAACAATCAACTACAAAAAGAATATTCCTTTCCACACTGATGGTAAGATATAAGAACTACCTCTCCTAGCTGTGGGTATATTACATATCATCACTGTACAACCAAGTACTCAAAAATTTAGCAGCTTAAAAACAACAACATCTGAGGCACTGACTGCGGGCTGGGCATCCCAGGGGATGTCTTGGGCTGTGTGGCCTGGACTGGCTCACAAAGTTGTCAGCCTGGGCTGCGATCCTGTTATGGTTCAACCAAGGCAGGAGAACCTAGTTTGGACCTAAACACTGTGAGGCCCCTGCACTGGAGGGTTTGGCTCTTTTCCTTGTCAGATTTCCAACAGCGGTGTCTACACAATACAACCTGCTCACCCCATAGTGAATGTGAGGAAGAGGTAGTTACCGAATACAGGGAGAAGAGAAACCACAAAATAGACCCAAATAAATGCCTTAACAGTTTCTCTTTATTTTTTAATATAACTATCAGAATATAAAAACAATGTTTGTGGCTTACTTCAGGTCATATTTCTGTTGAGTAGCATGAATTAGAGATTGTGATTTAAAAATTCATTGTTTTTATATTTTATTTATTAGTAGTATTATCATTACTAGTTTGAGATACATAATTCCATTCATCTTGGGGAGTCGGTACATATAGATATCACATCTTGATCATTTTTTCTCCCCTTCTCTCCCAAGCTCCTGCTCCATCCTTCCCCAGAGCTCCTTCCCATCGCTACATAATATCACCATGGAAATGACATCACTTCTTCTGTATGCTATTGGTCAAAGAACAAAGCCCTACAATATGGGAGAGTACTGAAAAGTGTGAATACTAGGAGGTATTCACCAGCTAAAATATTGGCCAGCACACAGAAGGTAAGGAAATTAAATGTATAAAGTGCTCAGAACAGTTCTGATACAGCAGTCTATTCCTATTATAACTATCACTTATTTTGTTATTTGATGATGATAAGAATGCTTTTGAGATAGTATTATCATGTATAGCTATATCTGTAATCAGGGTCTTTTTTCTTCTTGTATCCATTGAGGCATGATTAGTAGTTAGTTCTGTAAAACTGAAGGTTTTAAAGGAAAGAAATCACTTTAGTGTTTATTCTAATGTTCTTAGGGTGCGATAGTTGAATGAATACAGACAGTCATTTTGCTGTCTGTGTCAATTCAAAGAACTGACCTCATAATTGCAGGATGACCCTGATTGCATTATATCTGGGGTTGGAAATTTACCCTTCTAGATTTTGATAAATAATACCACGTGTCAGCTTCAGTTCCAGTGTCAGCAAGCAGATCCAATGTGCCAGGTGCAAGCTGAGATGATTCAAGGCACAATTTGGATGCCAACATTAATGCTTTGCTTCCTGTTGGCCAGCTCATCTTTCTGACACTGAGTTGTTACTGGCTCAGTCCTTTGGTGATATGAAGTTAAAATAAATGAATTCACTGCAACTGAACCTTACAGGGCACATATCTTTGCACAAAAAGTTGTTAATTTTATTGCAGTTTAATATCTTCCCTTTCAAAGTCAGAATCATAACCTCTTGGAATTTTCATAGGTTCAGTGAGTGGATTTATAACATCTCTGATTTTAATAGGTGTATTTATAAAGTAAGGAACCGTAAAACTTTAGGTTAGAAGAAGACAACATGTCCAAAGTGAAGTGAAGTGTGTTTGCCAAACTCGTAGTTCTACAGGATATTAATGGCTGCTATGTGATGGGTAGGGGACAGGGGAAGGGGACGTTACCAGAATCTCTGCAGCGAGTCCTGGTCTCCTGCGAGCCACGGCAGCACACGGCGAATTACAGGAAAGGTAGAAAAATGAGACCGAGAAGAAGCTGAGCTCAGGGTCTGATCAGTGCTGCTCTGGGCAGCAAAGACAAAGCCCCCAGCTTACCACACCTTTTATTCTGTACATCGGGAGAAACAAATGTAACAAATGACTTGCAGAGAGTTCAGTAGTTCACATTGGGATAAACAAGGTGTAACGGAAGGCTTGCAGAGAGTTCAGTACATCTCCGGCAGACAAGATGTTAATCAGTCCAAGAACAATGAGGAACTGAGCAGATGTTTGTTCTCCCAGGATGTGTCTTGTCCTGGAGAATCACAGCATCACTGGATCACTGAAGTCTCAGTTGTGACCGGAGGCCAAACGGGAGTTATTCTGTAGCTGGGCTGTAGGCAAGAGAACTAGGCTAACCAAATGATTTATCCCTAGAATTATGTAGCATTGCTCCCAACAGTGATGTCTTTGGCATTTGTAGTTTCTTGACCATTCATGACCCATTTTCCTTTCAGAATGAGCTATCATGTTGGTTTTGATGAATTACTTTTCTTTCAGGGTGTATTATCCTGAGCTCATTAGAAAACAGATTGAGGCAAACTCTCATGCTAATGTTTCACTGGTGAATGTCATTCAAATGAAAACATAAGGAGACAGAGACATCTTCCAGTGTTAAATCATCCACACTTCAGAGTTGTGATGACCAATCAGCCCTCCTCATCTGGGGGAAGATAATAGCTTTTGTTCTGTTTCTCCACCACCCCACAATGATCGGTTATAGAGACACAGCATTTGAGTAATAATCTTGGTTTAAGATTGGGCATCCCTAGGTTAACCTTGTAAAAAAAGGTCTAAAATCATTCATCCTAGTAAATCTAATAGACAGTTCATATTTAGTGTTTAAAGTTAGCTCAAATCTGGTAAATTTAACTTTATGCTAGTATCTGATTTATAATTCTAATACGTCCATTCAAACTTATCCATTGCCACTTTATGTGAAGCTGTTCTAATTCTTTTCTCATATCCTCTAGTTATATTGAATTTAATCTCCTCGCAATGAATGTATTTTCAAGCCATAACACTTAAAAAGAGTTGGGGAGTACATTAATGCAACGTTACTCGAAACAAAGGAAAGATGTTGAAATATTGCAAACATTCTTAAAGAGAGTACAATGACATAAATAAGGTAGGCAGTAAGTAATCTTGAAATTCATTCATAAAAGGTCTAATTCTTTGATATTATTTTCTCTCTTTATTACTTTAATTTTTAGTGATTTGTTCAAGGAAACGAAGCAGACTAACCAAATTCTTTTGTTACATAATTTAAAATACATTTTCTTTAATCAAACCTAGAAACTCATAATAAACAGAAGACTCTTGTTGAAGTTTTCAAAGGCAACTAACATAGACAATGTGTATTACAAAATGGATTACATTTTTTCCTCTCATTTTTAATGACTAAAGTATCTTTTTAAAATTTACACATTTTCTTACATTCCTTAAGGTATTCCGATGGCTGAATCCTTTTCAGAGCAACCATTTTAACTACAAACACCTTTCTACTTCTGTTAGCTCTTCATGGACGCTTACTTCAAGCCACATAAAGATATATTCTGGATTCCTAATTGATATTTAAAACTATTTATTGCCCATCCATAGCAAATGAGGTACTTACTTGTGGAGTTGACCCAACAGAAAGAGAAAACATATAAGTAAGATAGATTTTCACAAAGGAATGCTTAAAATTACATTTGATAATAAAAAAAATTCCATCTTAAAATAATAGAAGCCTGCTAGGATTGAAAGTATATTTACTTCTTGAACAACTCTGCAAATTAATACTACAAGGCCAGGTGGTTTGAACCGCTGCTGGCACAAAATTCAAGAAACCTGTGACACAAAAGCAAGCTTTTTCCTTTGCATATCCTAAACTGAAGTGGACGGATTGGACTTCTGATTTTTTCTTGGGACTAGTTGTTGTCAAATAACACTTGTGCACAGGCGAGATCCATCCGCACTTCACAGTGAGCAGAATCCCAAGTGCCGGGGAACACAGGCCGCTTATTCTTGTCTAAGGTGATAAAATGTTTGGTGAAGAATTTACTTCTCTTTTGCTCCTCTCCTCTCTTCTTTCTCTTCCTCTTCCTTTTTGTTGTTATTATTATTGTTAGGTATAAATAGACATAATGGGGCATTATCTTTATTGGCTATTACTGTATTCTGACCAAAAAACTATATTATTCATAATTTAACAATTGTCGTCACCTTCATTTATCTTATAATAAATTATAGTGAATCCAAAAAAGAATAAAGTAACTCAAATTTACAGTAAAATATTACAGTGAGTGGATGATCAGCTGTTAAAGAAGACTTGAGTCCACCATATGTATGGTAAAGAGTAGCAGTTCGCTCTCCTCTGGGATCTGTAATAACCTATTGTGGTTTTTTTCCTTTCAAACCTTTTTAAATGTTTACCTGAAGCCACCGATACAGACTCTTTGATGTGTGACAAGACTCCCTGAACGGGGACAGAGGACTCTCCTGATGGACTTTAATCCTGTCTGGCCGTCATATAATTCTAAATGATTTTCGTAAAATTTTACTCCTAGGTTAAAAATAAAAGAAAACCCTCAAAATTAAAACTAATTGATAGAATCATCAAGATGTTTCAAATAGAATTGCACATTAATAATAGGTAAGCACAAAGTCAAATGTTTTGGATGACCAAATTTCAATATGCAAGATAATGGTTTTGAAAGGAAAAATAAAATGTACAAGGGGATTGGATATTATTTATCCATACATTGTTTTTTTTACTAAATGCAATGTTCTCTCATTAAAAGGCTTTTAAAAATTTAGTATGAGTTTTTTGTAGTGTAAATAAATTTAGCATAAGCAAAATGAATTATTCAGCTAATATTAAGTAAACACTGATATTCTCTCCACCACCAATCTCTGTAAGATCTTACTTCAGCCATGTCATTTTCTTACAGGAAAAATTCATATTATTTTTATAGTACTAGACTGAGCATTCACTGAAATCAAAGCCATTTAAAGTCAGTGATTATGAATATAGACTATTTTAGGTGAAATCATTTTTATAATTAGTTGCATAAAGACAACCTTTTATTTTGCATTTATAAAAATGCAAAATTTCTGTGATGAACTGTATTCATCATCTATATTAATGTAAAGCTGAGAGCCTATTATTGCAAATAACCCAGAATATTCAGAACATCTTTTCTTGATTTGGAAAAAGACCATAATTGAATTTCTCTTGAAATGTAATTGTGATACAGGGCAATTTTCTATATGCATAAGAAATCGACTCAGAATCCAATCACTTCTACTTAGCCATATGGTCAGGAGTAGCTTGCAGCTGACTATGGATTTCACATTACAATCAGTGAGGACATATTTTCAAAACCCTCAAGAGGAAATTTTATTCATCATACACCACATTTAAAATTGGTGATATATTCAAATGCATATTTAAGAAAACACCAAGCTTCTATCACACTTCCAAGCCCGTATTTAAGAGGAAGCTTTCATCACATCAATATTACATGTAGTCTCTTTCAACATGCGTAATCTACTAGAAAAATAAGATGGTACCGTAAAAGGAATGACTGAGGAGGTGTTAAAACAAGTACATTTTAATGTGATTTTAATATTATAATTTATGGAGGCTAAATTAGAAACTCATTAAATACATTTGTATTTTTCTTTGCAAACCTTTTTGCATTATGCGTTGTTTCTTATCTTCCTAAATGTAGCACTTTTCCCAACTATGTTTGAAGTGTTTTATTGAGTTAAAAATTTCAGAGTTTGGACAAAAAAATGCAACTATTTTCCTTTTGAAAGAACAGTTTTTAAATAAATGTGGTATGGTATTCATTTTCCACATACTTTTCTACATCAATTATGATTTAATGAAATGCTAAAACTGGATTTTGGTTAGAATGGTTGGAGGTAGGAAGATTTGATGTACATTGGCAGTAAAGATTTTCTAGAAAAAACATGGACAACAGTAATTTCTAAACTATTTTATCAATTGGTTTTGTATTTGATGTTACTCAAAATCTTGTAATTTCTAAAATCATAGGCAATATTCATGGAAATCTACTAAAATAAATAAATGAATAATTTATTAATGATTAAAATATATGGAGTAGTTAAGTTGGAAATAATATTGATTTAAAGAAAACTTCCAGGTTATTGGTACCAGATACCATTGGTTTTATTATTCTGGAATTATAGTGCATGCTAGATCATATAAAAAATGACTATTTTGTGACACTTAGAACAAGACTTAAAACAACTTAACATTAGCCAGGCATGGTGGCACTCCTGTAATCTCAGCACTCAGGAAGCAGAGGCAAGAGGATCACTGAATTTGAGCCCAGCCTGGTCTACATAATGAGTTAAAGACCAACCTGAACTACAAAGCAAGACCCTGTCAAAAAAAAAAAAAGAAAGAAAAGAAAAAGAAAAAGAAAACACTGAAAGGGAGGTAAGATCAGTTAAATTAAATAAGAATAAATTTGATATAAAATTCTAAGTGTTAATATATTTATCTTAAAACTAAGCTCCATTTTCTAGTTCTGTTTGCTAAAAAGTTCCAAGAAATGATGGGAAAACCAGTAATAAGGAACCCCCTTAGCGTCAAAATTGTACTTACTGTCATTTGTCACTGAAGAGTGCTGAGCTCCTGGAGAAACAGATGGTTCCAGGCCTGCAACAGGAAAATGTCTCCCAGATCTCACTTCAGGAGATTCCCTGTGAGAGTCCAGTGGTGATTATCAGAGAATGGTGAAAACTGAAGGGAAAGGAGGGCAGGGAAATATTGATCAAAATATATAAAATAACAAGGAAAATAAATTCAAAAGATGTCATCCAGCAAGGTGACTATAGTTGATGATATGGGATGTTCATGAAAAATTCAGAGAGATTGATAACTGTGCCCTTTTAATTAGATAGATTTAAACACACACATATATATGGCTTCAAAATATCATGTTCACATGCCAAATACATACAATGTTACATGTCCATTTACAAAAATGGAAAGAGACTTTATGCTAAATTTGGGACAATTTCTTAAGAGTAATAGCTGCAATGGATTGACACACATTGAATACATTTCAATGCATTAATTTATAGTATTAATAAAAATCATTCTCAGTGGTCACAAATAAAACCTCAGGAAACCATTTTATTATTTTTAAATAATTGGCTGTTACACTGCTTTTCCTATAAAAGTGGTGGTTGAGGGTAAAGAAATTGACTAGGGAAAGTTTTTTTTAATAGTTTTATTAAGCCATCTCTTTAGAGCTTTTCCTAGTATACTAAAGTTAATATTAGCTTCATCTTAAAGCTAATAAAAGAAGGAATTAGTGGAAATTGGACAATTTTGAAATCCTAGTAAAGAAAAAGGAATCTAGGTAATAACCCTTAGTGAATGCTAATAAAAAAGAAGCAACAATTCATTTTATGTCTTCATAACACCAGCCTAAAAAATATTCTTGCCAAAATATCTACTCTGATTCAAGATTTAGCTATGAGTTTATGAGCTTCAAGAGAATTATAAAAACTTGCTAAACAAACAGCACAAGATTTTGACCACCAAAATCCAGAATGTGGGAAACTACAAAAATGACAACAAAAAAAGACCTGATTTATTCAATAAATGAATTGTGTGGGGAATAAAAGAGGGAACTTGCAGTTTAAGAATCCTGAGAATCATATTAACTGTCTCAGTTTATCTCAGGCAGTTAAAAAGGAATACTTGAGGCTGAGAAATTTTTAGATAAAATAACTATTTCCCACAGTTCTGGAAGATGAGAACTTACAGTGTGGCATTGAGACAGCTGGTGTGGGCATGTTGACTGCAATGCCCATGGCAGAAGGGAGAAGAGCCTGAGAATATCTACAAGAAAGGGCTTCCTTTAGAATAAAAGCACTTCCATGGCAAGGAAGCCACTCATCCATTTATGTGTGCAAAGCTCCCTGGCCCACCCACAGTCTTCAAGATCTACTTCCAGTACCATCACAGAGCCAGTCAAATGTCAGCAGGACTTTTGGAGAAAGCATTGGAGCCATGGTGTTAACTGACTCCACTGGGGAGATTTTATTGGGTCATGATTAGAACACAGTCTAAAATAAAAAACAATGTGATTATACAGC